CGCACAACCCGCGGCTCCACTGGCAGAGGCGCCTAATCGGACGCTCTCGCGATCGGGAAGCGGGCCGCTGGCGCGCCCTCCCCGCCCCCGACCGACCCCGGCACTGGCCGCCAAGGCGATCCCTGCAGCTTCTTCAGCAGCTCCTTGTCGTAGCGCGCGCCCCCGGCCTTCCGCTTGACAGCCCCGGCCCTGGCCACGCCCTGCCCCACGCCGATGCGCAGCCCCTGGCTCGACAGCTTCACGCCCAGGTAGATGCCCGTCACCCACTTGGCGTCCAGCGCGTTCTTGCGCCCTCGGTTCCCGTCCGCCGGCAGGTAGAACACCGCCTCGGCAAACGGTGGGAGCGCCCCCCGGCACTTCTTGCCGCGCATCCGCTCGTACGCCGCCCGCCCGTCAGCCCCCACGTCAAACAGGCTGATCACCGCCCCCACGTAGTCTATGAGCCACGGCACGATCATGTCGCCGCGGCCGATCTGCGTCTCGCACTGGCGCTCCACGGCCAGCTTCAGCGCCCGCGCGACGCCCCCGACGGACTGCACCGCCCGCTCGACTGCGCCGTTGGCCTGGTGCTCGCCCACCGGGCTCTCCTCCTTCACGACCTGGTAGGTCCCACCCACAGCCTCGATGACCTTTTTCTTCAGGTCCACGATCGAATTCTCTTGGTCGCTCTTGAAGATGAAATGCTTCACCCCCGTGTACCGGATGGCCTCCGCCACCCGCTCGATGATCCAGGCATCCCTGGCGCCTTTACTCGCCACTGCGATCGATACTGTCCATCGACCTTTATGCTCACGCAATACCACCGTCGGTCCTGCTCGAGCATCGTCTCCTCCAAAGAACGCGTAGTCTATGGAGATCGTGTTGACCAGATGAGCTCGCTCAGCACCCAGTCTACGATGATCTGCATTGCGGCCCCCTCCTCCGACGCAGTCGCCGCACCATGCCCTGAACTGCGCGTGCCCTGCCGCCTCGCGCGCTTCCCGCTCGGCCGTCGCGGGCTCGAACGGCCCGGGCACCACCGTCACCGGCGGGCCACCCATGTCGTCATCCTCCTCCAGCTCGGGCGCCTCAGGTTCCGCCGTCACCGCCGGCGCTGCTGCTGCTGCCCCTCCGTCCTCAGGAAGAGGGTAGATCTCGAACTCGTCGTTGGGTCTTACTGCGGGCGCGCATGCCGATCGCTCCCCGACATCGCGCTCAGGTCTGGAGTCGACCGCCCCCGACCATCCACCTTCCTGAGCTTGAGGCAGTACACTCCACGTCGTAGGTGCACAGGTAGCGACTTGCCGCTCGCCATGTGCCTCACGTACCTCTGCTTCGGCCCGAAGTAAACCTCGCGCCCCTTCTCCACCAGCTTCGACACCGCCAGTAGCATCCGATGCACCGCCGTCGACGTGCACCTCAGGCGTCGGACCTCGCCATCCTCGCCCATCACCTCGATGATCTTCTCGCCCTCGCCGTGCACCAACTGACCGTTCGCCGCTCGGCAGCTCGCGCCCGACTCGCTGGACACCGTCGGGCGCGCCCCCACGTCCACGAACCACTTGTTCGGAACTACGCTCGCAGCCGCTCCAGAGTCCACCGCCGCGTAGAAGTAGTCGCCATCCTCGCCCATCATGTTCAACTCCAGCGTGCAGAGCCCCAGACTTCCCATTCCACCAGGCTTCTCGGTCTCCGGCTCCTGCTGCTTCGCACTCTCCTCGAAGCTGTTGGCTCCACGTCTCGTCGGCGCCGAGCTCTGGCTCGATCCGCAGTCTGCCCGCTTGCGACCCCAGCCCCAGCACAGTTCGTCTCGATTTGGCCACGGCCCGGACGGCATCTTGTCGCTCTTGCTCTTGTCCTTGCCCTTGCCTTCGCCCTTGCTCTTGCCGCCCTTGCCGCCGCCCTTGCCTTTGCCATTCGAGCTCTGGTTGCCCTGGCAAGCCCCGCCACCTGGAGCCCAGCAGCCCCTCTTCATGTGGCCCTTCTTGCGGCAATTCTTGCACTCGACGTCCCCGTTGTCCGACTTGCCGCCGCCCTCGAGGCCGCTGATGTCCATCGGCATTGGGCCGTCGTCGTTCTTCGACTCCAGGTAGCTCTGTATCTCCTCTCGCACGCTGATGTAGGTCTTCAGCTTGTTCGCGTTCAAGACTAGGTGGTCCTTCAGCACTCCCCTCGTCATGTTGATCAGCACCGACGTCTTGATGTCCTCCTGCATCGCATGGCCAGCGCGCTTCTCGTAGACTCGCAGTCTCTCCTCCCGCCTGGCCATGTGGCCGTTCAACTCCTTCGTGTCAACCGCTCCTGGGTTGATCAGCGCCCCCAGGATGTTCCTCTTTCGCCCAGCTCCTTGAGGGTCGAACCGCCGCGAGATCACTCGCCATGCCTCGAAACCATCGTTGTCCTTCGTCGCCTGCACCAGGTCCAAGGCTTCGCCCTCGCAGAGCTGAGCCATCACCGCGTACAGCTGTCTGCCAACGCCCTTGGCGTCCTCGCCGTCGTCGAACAGCCTCTCGATCTCGTCCCGATCGGCTTCCACCAGTGCCTCCTCTTGGTCCTGGCAGTACTCCATTGACTCCTTGATGCCGGTCGCCACTCCCTCCAGGAAGTTGCCCAGCTTGAAACTCCATGTCGACCACTCCTTCATGTCCGACTTGAAAGGCAGCGGCTTGCCAATGCCCTTGATGTCCACCAGCTGCACCTTGGTCTTTCTCGCCTCGCGGTCCGCGATGATCGTGCCCTGCAGCCGGTTGATCGTCTCTAGTTCCTGCAGTCGTTGTGCTTGCAGCACCGCCACTGCGTCCCGCTGCTTTGTCAACTCCATCGTCATCCCTTGAACTTGCACTGCCAAGTTCCTGAGCTGTTCCTCCGCCATCCTCACAGGTGATCGCGCAGCCTATCTCGAAGTTGCTTCTCGCACACCTCCTGCAGCCACTGTCCGAGATGACCCCAGATTCGCTGCAACCTCCTGATCCTGCGGCAGCTGTTGACCAGCACCCGCCACTGCACCACAGCACGGTCCACCACGTGCCAATCTTCCACCACGAGCTCGTCTTCCACGAAACCCTCGCAGTTGCTATCGAGGCGCGCCGTGTGCGCAGGAATCTCTGGATATGGATCGGTAGCGGATCTGTTTTGGGAGCCAGGCTCCGCTACCATGACTGGATGATTTTGAACCAGCACGGCTTCGGAGCGCACAGAATCGCACGCAACCGTTTATACACTGTCTTGCTACAATCATCATCATCAACAGCATCAGCATCATAATCATCAGCATCAGCATCATCATCAGCCGCAGCATCATCGTAATCAGCATCATCGTCATCATCATCATCGTCATCATCAGCATCATCATCACAATCATCAGTATCATCATCATCAGCAGCATCAGCATCATCATCAGCATCATCATCAGCATTATATAACATAATCAGAATCAGCCTGTTTCTCATCCTCATCCTCATCCTCACCTTCCACCTCCCTCCTCTTCCCCCTCCTGCATCATCATCATCATCGCCGTCACCATCGTCATTACCATCATCATCAGCCTCATCATCGTCGCCACCATCATCATCATCATCAGCAGCAGCATCATCATCATCATCATCATCATCACCACCACCACCACCACCACCACCACCACCATCATCATCATCATCATCATCATCATCATCATCATCATCATCATCATCATCATCATCATCGTCGTAATCATCTCCGTCATCGTCATCATCCTCATCATCATAACCATCATCATCAGTATAATCAGCATCGTCAGCATCATCAACATCATCAGTAGCAACAGCACTATCACTATCATCATCATCATCATCACCAGCATCACCATCATCATCATCATCATCATCATCATCCTCATCAGCAGCATCATCATCCTCATCCTCTTCATCATCATCATCATATCGGCATCCTCCTCCTCCTCACCACCATCATCATCAGCATCATCATTATCGTCATCATCGTCATCATCGTCATCATCGTCATCATCGTCATCATCATCATCATATTCATCATCGTCGTCGTCGATGTCCTAATCGTCGTTGTCATCAGCTTTAGCATCATCATCAGCATCATCATAATCAGAACCATCATCCAATTCATCATCATCAGCATCATCGTAAGCATCAGCATCAGCATCACCTCAGCATTATCATCAGCATCATCATCCTCATTATCATCATCGGCAGCATCGTCATCATCATCGTCAGCATCAGCATCGTCATCGTCAGCATCAGCATCATCATTATCATCGTGATCATGATCGCCATAGTCATCGTCATCATCATCATCATCATCACCGTCACCATCACGATCACGATCACCATCATCATCATCATCATCAGCATATCATCATCTGCATCATCATCAGCAACAGCAGCATCATCATCATCGTCATCATCATTATATTCATCTTTAATTTACCTTCATCAGCAGCAGCATCATCTACGGCCGCTGCCGCCGCCCGCGCGGCTAGTGCACGAGATCGACCATCTTGTGAGCCACGGCGACGGCGACGACGCACGACGGACGACGGACGCCGACGCCGACGCCGACGCCGACGCCGACGCCAACGACGGCCGACGCCAACGACGGACGACGGACGACGGACGACGGACGACGGACGACGGACGACGGACGACGGACGACGACGACGACGACGACGACGACGACGACGGACGGCGGCAGCGACGGCGACGACGACGACGACGGCGACGACCACGACGACGACGACGGCAGCGGCGGCGGCGGCGACGACGACGACCACGACGACGACCACGACGACGACGACGACGGCGACGACGACGACGACGACGACGACGACGACGACGACGACGACGACGACGTCGACGACGACGACGGACGGCGGCAGCGACGGCGACGGCGACGGCGAAGGCGACGGCGACGACGGCCGCGATGGCAGCAGCGACAACGGCAGCGGCGACGACGGCAGCGGCGACTGCGGCGGCAAAGGCGACGCACCACGGACAACGGACGCGCAGCGAGACCGCTTGCTCCGCGGCGCCGTCCGCCTCGCCCGCGGGAGCGGCGCGCGCGGCGCCGCCGCCCTCGGAGCCCCGGAGGAGCAGCTGCTGGCTGCGGGCGGGAAGCGGGGGCGGCGGACGGGGCCCCCTCCCTGGGGAGAGCGGGGGGGGGAACGACGAGGGGGGGAAGAGAGGGCGAGGAGGGAGGGGAGGGAGGGAAGGGAGGGAGGGAGGGGGGGGAGGAGAGTGCCGGACGGAGGAAGGGGAGTGGCATAGGTGGGGCGGAGACAGCGATTCAGCTGACGCAGCTGATTTTCCCGGCGCCTCCTGGCGCCGGAAACGCCCTATGTGTCAAGGAATGCGCCCGGCGCGGCGGGACCGAAACAGGTGCGCGCAACAGATTTTGCAGCCCCCCATCTTCCAAGACCCTTCTCTGGTCCGACCTGAGAGGGGGACGAGGAAGAGATGGTCAGAGGTCGGGGGGACGAAGATCACTGACTGCACTTCCAGGTCAACGAGCGCGGCCGCCATGGGGTACTCCTTAGATGACGGTCGAATCTGGCTGGGGGGGAGACACCACAGGGAGGGCGAGGAGGAAGGCTGACGGAGGAGGAAAGCGAGGACGAGGGGGAAGGAACAGGAAGGAGGGAGAGGGGGGGAGGAGGAAGAGAGGGAAGGGCGGGGGCAGGGGCGGCTTGACGACGCACTGGGCCGCACCAGCAGCCGACCACGGGCCCAAGATGGGCCCAGCCAAGATCGGTGCCAGGGCGTGCAGCCGGCGCCCTTCTCGAGGCCGCGGCTGGGCAGCAGGCCACCAGAAGGGACACGGGGACCCAGGTGCGCTCGCGCCAACCTTCCACCCATCGTTTTCCCATGGCGCCAACCTTTTCCAGCCGCCGACGGGTGCCACAACGGACTCGGGATCCCCACAGGACACCATCGTGTGATGCGCAATCAAAAAAAGCACGGGCTGTGCGCCCTCAATGAGGACGCAGGACGGGGAGGGCGAGCGACGAAAGGGGGGAGAAGGCAGAGCCTGAAAAGGCAGGTCGGGCGCCGAGGGGAACGATCACGAGGAGGGGGGATGAGGAGGAGGAGGACGACGACGAAAAGCAAGCGAAGGAGGTGAAAGAGGTGAAGAAGAAGAAGAAGCAGGAGGAGAAGATGGGAAGAACGAGGAGGGGGAGTAGAATAGGAGGTGGAGGGAAAAGGGTGGGAAAGTGGACGGGAGGAGAGGCTGGAGGACGCAGGGATAAGAAAAAAACTAGAGAATAATAAGAGAAAGGAAGATAAGAAAAAGAAGGAAAAGCAGAAGGGTGAGTGAGACGAGGGAGGGGAGCGGAACAGCAGCAGAAAAAAATGAGTGCGCAGGAAGGGGGGGAGGAGGGGCAGGAGGTGGTGAGATCTTTTTTCGGGATGCTTGCCTGCAAAGGTGAGCCGAAACGTCAATTGCGTACACCACATGATGATATCCAGACACTCCCTGAGCACAATCAAAGCAGGGGACTGTGGGTCTATGCAGCCCCCTTCGTGCCGCCTGGCTCCTTTGTCCAGGCACGACTCAATCCCATGCAAAACGTAGCCCGATCTTAGGAGCAGAGATGTTACAGGATCAGTTCGAGCACTCGGACGCGCCCTGAACAAGCACGAACCATCGCCACCGACCATAGCCCGTCCAAGGTTAAAGATGGCGTGGAGGCTGAAGAACTGAAGGCCGACATGGCCGCTGTCATAGACGGGCCCCCTAGACCTTCGCCTGGAGGGCACTCGAGAAGGGAGTGCATCCGAGAGCTCAACATTCATCATGATCAAAGCTTGCAGCATCGCTGCCTGACCTAAGAACTTGGTGCCCAGGTCCGCAGGGCTGGATTTGCCCGGGACTTTGGAAAGCTGACAGCGGCCGTCGCAGAAGACCCGCCGGACCCGCAGCGTTGGCGTCTCGAGGTGGCGAACCCTGCCGCAGCCTCGGCGCTGCACGACGCCGAGGGCCGCGGCCGAAACACTCCATACTCGAAGGCCCAGCTCACGACCGAAGCCTCGACACAACGCCTGCATGCCGATGGCCCTGCTGCCCGCCTGCGCACAGCCATGGAACTCCGTCTCGCCTGAGCTCGCGGCGATCGGGATCTGGGTCGCTGGCCATGCCTGATCACGACCGAGCTGGCGTTCTTCCTGGCGATCGGGCAACCAGCCCAGTCCGCGTCAGAGTAGATGACCAGGAAGGCGGCCCCACCTCCACACAGCACGCGGGGCTCCCACCAGGAAGCGCCCAGCACGCTTCAGGAGTCTTCGGTAGCGCTCCGTCGGTTTCTGCATGCCACGGGCGCACTCCTTCGCGGTGAACTGCAGCTCCGGGCGGTCGAGAGCGAGGCAGCCCAGCCTCACTCGCGCACTGCGGTGCTCGGCCGCCTCGGACTCGGGCAGCTCACGCCCAACCTCAGGCGTCAACTTCTGGATCACACCGGCCGTGCTCAGTGACCCCGCGTCAGACGCCATGCCCAGCCGCGCATGGAGGGCCTGCGCGCGCCCGGGGCCCGCCTCGCACTCGATGGCCCCGCCGCCCTGGCCCCGCCAGTCTCGCCAGCGCAGGGCCCCGTTGAGACGCGCGATCTCCTTCAGGTCGGTCGGCGCCGGCCCGAGCACGCCACGGCCCTTCACGATGAACTTCGCACTCAGCACCTCGCGGATCGCCTCCGCATCGTCGCAGGAACCCTCGAGCACGAAGTCGTCGCCGTGATGGGAGAAGCCCACCTGCTTGTCCCTGCGGCAATGCACGCACGGGGAGCAGGCCGACTGGTCGCAGCCGGCGCCGACGACTGTCTTGGAGGTCGCCAGCTCGACGTTCTGGCCGGCGCCACGCGCCCCGTAGAGAGCCATTTTCAAGAACCCGCACTTGCCTGCCCCCTGCGACATCCCGCCCTCGCCCGGGGGCCTGACGTAGAGCGCCCTCTTGATCTCGCAGCGCGGGCGAGCCCTTGAGATGTCCAGGAAGCCCAGGACGCGGCCCTCAGCCTGGTCGCTCGACATCACTAAGCTGCACACGAGCCGGAGGCACTCCAGCGGTGGCGCCGCTGCAAACACTGCGCCGACGCCATGCCCAGCGGTGGCGTTCTGCGCCATAGTCTCCTGCGCGACGAGACGCGACCTGCAGTCGGGCCGGATCGAGTCGCCCTTGTCGACGTCGACCCAGCGCACACTGAGAGGCTTGCGGCCGAGCTCGCGGTAGCAGTCCTCGTCACTCGCGTAGGTCCACACACCGCGCTGGGCCATGAAGTCCATCTCCGATCGCCTCGCGGACCTGACCATCTCGGCGCCCAGCAACGCCCCCGCGCGATCGTCGTAGAACTCGGGCTTCAAGGCGTCGCGCCAGTGCCCGGTGAAGTCCTTCAAGCTGATCTCCTCGTCGCCCACGTTCGGCCCCGCATCGAGGGCCGATGGAGCGAGCACCTTCTTATTCACGAAGTGCCGGCGGAGACCGCGCGGCGCGGCGAGCCTGTCGCCGCGCGCGCCCGGGACCGCGCGGCCGAACGCGCGCTGGCCCCCTCGCCCGACCACCGCGCATGGGAGGGCCATTACATTCTTTGCGACATCCAGGCCCCAGCTGTCGGCGCCCCAGGGGTGCTCGCGCAGGAACGCTCGGCCACTCACGACCTGCAGCGCGCGCAGCTCCATCGCGAACCTCAGGCGCCCATGCCCGATGGCATAAGCCTGGCGCTGCCCCTCGGCATCCTCGCCCAGGTACTTCAGCATGGAGAACGGCGCGCAGCGAGGGCTACCCAGGAGCGAGCACGGCCGGCACTGCTCGACCAGCTTGCGGCACTGCTGCTGTTGGCGGCGGTCGGACAAGTCCCGGCCGACCCTGACGTCGAACGAGCCACCGTGGATCAGCCCGAAGAGCGGCGCAGCGCCAACGAGCTGCCTCGGGCAGAACACCTCCACCACGTCAACCTCGCGCCCGCTGTAGGCGAGCGAGAGCAGCAGCGCCTCGACCGCCTCCTGCAAGTTGCCGCCGCCCGGGCCTGGAAGCGCCAAGGCCACGTCCACGTCCGCGGCTGGCGCGGCTGCTGGCGCCGGCGCCACTGGAGCCGGCCCACCGCTGCCTGACGAACTGCCTCCTCCGCCATCCCCACGCCGTCGCTTCCGATCTCGGGCCTCTTCGAGCCTCTGCCTCGCAGCGTCGCCCTCGAGAATCGCCTGCTCGATGCGAGCGCGGCGCCCGGCAGGGTGAGCCCGCGCTCGAACGCCGAGGAGAATCGCGGCGCAGCCGTAGCAGTTAGGGGTAGCGCCATACTTAGCAATCTCGACGTCCTTCCTGATGCAGACGGCCCGCGGCCCAGCACTCGGCCGCGCGCCTCGAGGAGCCCGGCGGGAGGCCCACTCCATCAGGGGCCGGCGGAACTGGAGCGCCGGCCGGCACGACTGGCGGCACTGGGGCCCCAACCGGCACGGCCGGCCCTGGCACGCGGATCTCTATGGCCACCAGCACCTCGTCAATAGCCGCATTCGCCGTCACAGGCGCCCACGGCCTCCCCGCTAGAGCGTCGTCCAACAGGCCCCTGTCGTCTCGCTGGTCGATCGGTAGTCGCAGCACGCAGCGCACAGTGCTCCGCGCCGATGTAGAACTCGTCGGTGCGCAGCGTAGGCCCGAGGAAAAGCCGCGAAAAAACTCGCCCTCGAAGCCGACCTTCCGCTTGCCCCCTGGGAGGAACAGCACCGTCTTCGAGAAGCGAGCGAGATCCCTGCTGCAGGCCCGGCCGTGCCCGAGCTCCCACGCGGTCCGACCATCGGCGCAGCGCCTGCCCAGGCTGATCGACGTCGCCGCGTACTCGACCATCCACAGGATCACCGGGTGGTCGGCACCGATGCCCACGCCGTGGAGGTCGTCGCCCTGCGCCCTCACGGTCCTGATATTGGCCTTCACCTCGCGCACAGCGTGCTCGGCGAGACCATTGCCCGGGGAGTCGCCGACCGCACTGTCCTCGGGGACCGTCTCGACACCATGGCCCCCCTCGAGCTCGGCTGCGACGCGGGCCCTCAAGGCGACGAGGAAAGACTCGCCATCCGAACGGAAGACGAAGCGCTCGTGGCCAGCCAACGCTAGCCTCTTCGACCGCGACTTCTCAGGCTAATAATGCTGCACCCCCTTGGCCGGCACCATGGACGCGCGGAATCAGCGCCGCTTGGCGCCCCTGCCAATCAGCATCGCGGCCCCGTCCTCACTCGCGCCGAAGTAGCCGCAGTCGATGCCGACCACCGCGACAGCAGCCTCCCGGCGGTCTGCGGCGCGGCGGCCCGCTGACAGGCCCCTGCCGAGGACGCACTCCCGGCGCCAAGCCCTGCAGGGCTCGCGCAGTACCACATGCGCGGCTCGCTCGGCCGCCGTCGGCCGCGGGCTCCCTCGCCGGTCGCGCCAGGGGACGCTCAGCCACGCCCTCGTGGACCCGACCTGGCTGGCCGGCCTCGCCCCCGGGAGGCCCTGGGCTGGCCACCTCCACGGGGCAGACCTCAGGCACGTACGGGTCGACGTGCACGTCAATCTCGTAGACCGCGCTCCTGCGGCAGAACTTCACGAAATCCCCGCTGGTCGCGCGGCGCGCGTAGCTGACATCTCGCCCGCCCTCGGAGTCGAAGACGAGCCGATGGCACGAGTCGACCGTCTCCGCGACGCGCAGCAACGGCTCGCTGACGTCCGCCACCCTGAACTTGGCGGCGAGTGCCTGGGAAGCTCCTGGCATCTTCCCCACGAGGGGCCTCTCGCCCTCGCCAGCCACGCAGTGGCCGGCGGCGGTCTCGTAGGCGACCGCCCCCCCAGGACTCGCGCGCAGGGCAGTCCGCACACGAGCCACGCGGCAGCACAGAGGCCGCTGCGCACGAGTCGATGCCCACGCGAGCGACGCCGTTGAACTCGACCTCCTCCGCATCTGAGTTGCCGTGGATCATGTTCACATCCAGGACCGCGCAGATCATGGAGTCGACACCGTCCGCCATCGCAGGCCCCGGGTCGTTCAGGGCACGGGAGTGGAGGTGCGCGACCAGGCGGCTAACCTGCTCGCTGTCGCCATTGAAGTAGAGCGCCAATCTGCCGAGACCCTCCACTCGTCGAGCCGAGACCCTCCACTCGTCGAAGATGATGCTGGACCTATCCTCGCGGTCGCAGCGGTCGAGGTCGAGGTAGCTGACACGGGCGCCGACGGAGCCGGCCTGGTCGCACCAGGGCCCATTCCAAGCCGACGATGCTGGCTCAGGCGCGACAGGGCCTGCTCCATGCTCGCCAATGTGCCCCTGTCTTGCTGGGGCACTCTCGTCGGGCGTGGCCGCGACTGCCGCGGCCCCAGCAGAGAGGCCCGAGGTTCTGCCCGTGGCCCTCGACTCCGCTGGCCTTGCTCTTGCCGTCAGACTTGGTCTTCCCCTCGCCGTCGCTCCTTCCCTTCCTTGCCTTTGCCGTCGCCCCTGGCCTTGCCCTCACCGTCACTCCCGCCCTCGCCTTTGCCGCCCTTGGCGAAGACGCTCAGGTCCATCGGCACGGGGACCAGGGCGATCGCACTCTGGGCCCTGCGGAAGTCCGTGACCTCTCGGCGGAAATCCTGCCACCCCACATGCCGGGTCGCACTGAGCAAGAGGCGTTGCCGCATGGGGCCCTTCTTCCATCTGGCGCAGCACAATGCCGATCGTCATCGAAGCCGAGAGGGTCTCGCCACTCCGCTGCTCGCATCGGATGAGCTCTCGCCCGAACAACGCTAGCCCGTCTTCGACGTCGCCAGCAGACGCGAAGTTCAGTAGGTTGAGCCACTGGCCTGCAATCCGAGCTCGAGCATGCGGCTCATAGTACTCAACGAGCTTACGCCACGCCTGGAAGCCCTCATTCTCGCCGCTGTTGACGATGGTGGCCAAGGGATGCTGGCGGCGGAGGAGAAGGAGGATGTAGCACAGCTGCTGCGATGCCCTCTGGAGCGACTCCTCGGCTAGATCGTCTATGAGCACAGAGATCGCGTCGGCGCTCTCTGCCTGACGCATCCCGATGACTACGCTTGGGTTCACAACCGCACAGTACGTCCTGAAGATGACTTTCCAATCGTTCCACTTGTGATTTTCTCCCGTGAACACGTCTGGCTTGCCGAGCGTCCGCGTAGCCACCAGGGAGTCCACTCGATGCGCAGCAACGGCAGCTGGTGGTTGGGCCCCGCCAGCTGCAACTCGGCCACGGCGCTGCACCTCGGCCATCAGCTCGTTATCTCTGTTTTGTCGGTTCTCTAGCTCCTGCGTCATTGCCTGCACTGCTCTCTTTAACTGTTGGACTCTTTCTTCCGTCGCCATATTAGCGACTGCGCTCTGATGGAGGCTTGAGCGCTGTTTGAAGCTGAAGATTGCCGAGAGTTGACCACAGGTGCCGAAATTTGAACAACTTACGCAGAGCCCGTGCGGTCCGTCGCCAGCCGTGGCTGGCCAGGTAGATCCACTCCTCGTTCTCTGGCACACCTGGCACGTGAGCGGCACCCGCGCTCGCGGGGCCGGGGAGCCGCGGAACCCCCGCTCGACGACGTCGGCGGGGACCACGGCTCCGCTACCATGGTGAGATTTGTTTTCGGGGCGTTTGCCTGCAAAGGCGAACCGAAACGTCAATGGCGTTCACCACATCATGATATCCAAACACTCTCTGAGCACAATCAAAGCAGGGGCCTGTGGGCTTATGATGATGATGATGAAGCGCCTTGAAAGGTCGGTTCTCCCAAAACACAAACCTGAGAAGCCACCAATACGCCAAATGCGCACGGTAGAGAAAGAGAGAAGCGGGGGGGAAGCGGGAGAGGGGAGGGGCAGAACAAAAGATGAAGCCCAACCCAGGATTGAAACCCATGATACTGAAAGAAATCATGAATGAAAGACTGTCCGATGTCCCCGAATGAAATCCACCACTAGGACCCTCTCGCTTTGAATAAAGATGAGAGCAATGAGAAACGTAATGCGAGATAATGGATTGTGCTCAAATTGATCAGAATATCTTGAGTGACTTGAGTAACTCGAGTAATTTGAGTAACTCTTGAAGCCAATCTTGATGGCATATGTTCCCACGACCTGAAGTGGTTAAGAAGTGAAGAGAACTTTCATTGAGTCCCATGAAACCCGATATACATAAGTGACAACCCAGTCGGATATATGTAGTGAAAGAAAACCTGACATTAAACTGAATGTCCCAAGCACGCAATGATCCCAGAAGATACGGAGGCATACAAAAATGAACTGTAAAGCCGAGTGAGAGCCCAACCGTGAGAACCCACCCCAGGTGAATCAAGGCATATGAAGTAAGATTGAATTCTAACAACTTTGACGCAGGAAGGCTGAGAATGTTTATGGCTTTGTATTTTGCCAACCACCGACGTTGAAGAGCATGCAAGGGAGATTGAAGGGGAACTGAGAGACCCCCAAAAGCCGCAGGCCCATGCACCGCAGACGCCAAGAGGTTCAGACTGTGGGAGTCCCAGGAGAGGCCTTCACGGATACTTCCAACGCCACTTTTCCACAAAGAAGTCTCCGTCCCACCAGTAGTCAGACAGGTACCATACCACTGGATGAGGCCAGCCAGATTCAGGGTCGAACCACGTGTCATAGTACTCCGTATACCAGACTTTGGTGTAGACTTTTTCCTCTTCACAGTAGTTCCACATACCACCTGAGCCGTGTGTCCACTTGAGACGCTTCCTAGCTGCTAGCTTGGCTGGAAGGCTGCGTTTGGCCATCCCCTGAATTGTATATGGAAGTTTCCCAGCCGTCTCGGACGAGAGTTCCCGTCAGGGTTTGAGGCGAAACGGCTACTGACTAACAGCCAGTTCTTTCCAAGGGACTCTCCGAACCCTTTCGTCGGGACCCCGAACGTTGACATACAGTCTATTAAAGCCGCTGTCCCGACAAGCTTTGAAGAGCGGGATTTTGCACCAGTCATATGTGAGATGTGGACCACCAAGGTCCGATGGTATAAGAAACCGAGCAGGCAACTTGACCACCCTTTGGAATAGCAGCGTAGAGCAGTATGAGAGTGCTTCAAGGTCTTGTTTGGACAGGAAGCAGACTTTGCGTTTAGACCTGCAAAGCTTCCCCTGAAAGATAACGTGAGGGTCTGACGCCTTGGGAAGTAGCATACCGAAAGCTTGAGCCCGAGACTGCAGGAGCCGACAGGAGGCAAGGGACGAGGAAGGGCCCATCAGAGGCAGACAGAGGGAGGCGGGATTGTTGCGAAGCCACGGTGTCCCTAAGATCGCAGAGATCAGGCGGGTCCCAGATAGAATCGCACAAGTGACATCTCCTGGTGTCAGCCAATCCCGTAGGCGGGAGGCAAAGAGAGAGGAGAGAACACAAAGGGGTCTCGAAACAGACCCAAATGTAAATTCCGTGGGGTGTCAAATACCCCCGCTCCATTAGTATTGGAGCCTGTTCTCTGAGGCTGCAATTAGGTAAGATACCCATACCTCTGAGGATTCCGTAACATTAAATTTGTGCACTTGCATTCCGTGGAACATTGCCACGGCAAACTTCCGAGTGTGGGGTGCACATGGGCCACGAAAAAGGCGACGGTCTTTCCCGGTCCTAGCGAAAGACCCATGTTGATCAGCAAATGTCAAAATGGACCGAATGGAGCAGATGATGGGAGAAATCCCCTGAATAATGTTCCAGAACCGATCTGGCTCAACATACCCCGCTCCCAACCCTAACTCCATCAAATCTCCGATGAGCTCTAGCCATCGAGAAGTGTCGGGTTCCCTGTTCCACCGTTCTCGGACCATCCTCTGTACATCGGTGACACGACCAGCGACTGATCGAAGCTCCTCCATGGACTTGGACGAAGCACTGGTAGGTTGTCTTCTTTGAAGATACCTGGCCATTTGACCCCAAATATTCCACCAGACAGTGTAAATGAAATTCCCAGGATCTGACCAGCGGTTGTCGTAGAACACTGCGCCCTTGTATGACATTGTCTTAATCTGTACAAAAGACATAGAGCGTACTGCAATTCCCACAATCCCAATAAGGTCTTTGCACGCCTTACTTGAGAAAAACTCCTCAAAGAGGTTCCATAGCTGCCTGAGAGGTATCTCGAATTCGCGTCCCTTCTCGTACATGTGGAGTGTGACACATCTCCGTGGGTGGTATGATCCTGAATTTAAAGGGACGATCTCGGAACTTTCGATTGCCAGTGCACGTGGGCAGGCAGATGCCCACGCCTCGAAGATACAGCACTGGAGCGACTTTGAATTCCATGGCCTGACGACCCTCTGAGGGGCAAGCATGAGAGTGTGTTCCCAGAAAACTTGAGAAGAGGTTGGAGCAGAACGTGCAAAGCGAATTGAACCAAAATGACTACAGAAAGCGGCCAAGCCAACAGGCCAACCGAAAGACAAGGATTCGAAAGATGAAGAGATAGAGAAAAGAGATGCACTTTATCAGGGATCGGACGGCAGTCATCGTCCTGGCCAGCAAGGTGAGATTAACAATCCCAGGCCGAACTCCTTTTGCACTGAAGTGAAGAGGCAAACTGAACGCCAAACTACCCCAAGAAAGAACTTGAAACATCGAGGACTTGGGCAAAGAGTGAGCAACAACCCCACTTAACCCCGTCAGCCGAATTGAGAAGAATATGATGCAGTCCCCGCTCCTGCGAGGTGACCTGGGGGCCTCATGCCCTGAGACACTCGTAATCCCATGCATTCCCAGATTGAAACGAAAGCCATAATCCTGGCAAAGTGATGAAATTGACAATCCCATCCAAGCCCGTTTTGAACTGAAGTGAAGGGCCAAACTAAGAGCGAAGCAATCCCAAGTTAAGAAATGTCCCATCTAGGCTGTGGGCAAAGCAAGAAACGACTCCACTACTTTGGCCCTGACGGACATATTGATGAGAGCAGAACTTAATTCATGCCTCGGAGAAAAAGCCTGAGGTCCCCGATTGAACCAGAGTTGAACCAGAGCCTGTGGGCTTATGAAGGAGGGGGACGGGGAGCAGCAGCACGCGATAAATGCGTTGGACGAAAAAGACAACAACGACGACGACGACGACGACACCGTCGACGACAATGACGGCGACGACGACGACGACGACGACGACGACGTCGACGACAATGACGACGACGACAACGACAACGACGACGAAAACGACGACGGCGACGGCGACGGCGACGCCGACGCCGACGCCGACGCCGACGCCGCCGCCAACGTCGACAGACGGCGGCGACGGCGACGGCGACGACAACAACGACGACGACGACGACGACGCCGACGCCGACGCCGACGCCGACGCCGACGCCGACGCCGACGCCGACGCCGACGACGACGACGACGACGACGGCGCGGGTGACGCCGACGCCGACGGCGACGGCGACGGCGACGGCGACGGCGACGGCGACGGCGACGGCGACGGCGACGGCGACGACGACGACGACGACGACGACGCCGACGCAGGCGGCGGCGGCGACGCCGACTGCGACGGCGACGCCGATGGCGACGGCGACGGCGACGGCAACGGCAACGGCGACGGCGACGGCGACAGCGACCACGGCGACGGCGACGCCGACGCAGACGCCGACGCCGACGCCGGTGGTAACAACGCGAAGGCGACGGCAACGGCCACGGTCACGGCGACGGCGACGGCGACGGCGACGACGACGACCGCGGCTCGGCGGCGGCCCATGTGCATGGGGTTGAAGTACAAGGGTACAGAACCCCTGATCCGCTGGTAGAGAGAAGGAGGGGTAGATGGATGTCTTTCCCTCCTGAGCGATCAAAGGTCTGATCGATCTGTCTCAATACCTGAGCCCAAACGGCCAGGCGCAGGAGAGGTAAGGATAAAGAGTATATATGAGGGCACTACACGGGTTCTATTCACACACCCCGTCCCGAATCCCGCCCGTGAGGGTAGGACTCGGGAACAGAGGAAAAGAATCCGTCACCCTTTTACTCCTTTAATCCTTAAGTCTGCAGGCAGCTGAGCTTAAAGTCAGTGTAGCCTCAGCTGCAAAGTGAAGTAAGAAGGAACACCCTGGGTCCCCATTTCTTCGCCAAGCACACTTTGGTGCCCCCTCGGTGCGCCCCCAAAAACGCTTCGGCACTCGAGGGCGGAGAAGAATGAGACAAGGGTGGGCGGAGAAAGAAGATCTGAGCATTGAAGCAACTTGTAATCTGCCTCGCTTTTGCGAGGCAGGTGTTGCCACCAGCTATCAGATTATTCTCAACGCAATGGAGTTAAACTCTAAAGAATATGCATGCTAAGATCGCGTTGA